CTCGAACTCGAACTCGAACTCGAACTGAAACAGTTATACAGTATTGATGAACTTAACCTTGAAAGGATATATATGGAAGGAACCGAACTCGAACTCGAACTCGAACTCGATCTCGAACTCGAACTGGAACTGTTAGAAGTCAACCCAGTGGACGAATAGAAAGAGTCGAACTCCAAAATCGCTGTCGTCGATTCGAATTCGAATTCGAACTCGAACTCGAACTGGTCCCCCCCCCCGGTGTCAAAATTGTCGTCGATTCGAAATTTGATCTCGAACTCGAACTGCGTTTCCCCCCCTCCGGGCGTCAAAACTGTCGTCGATTGGAATTCGAACTCAAACTCGAACTAGTTCCCCCCCGGAGTGAAAAAATTATCGTCGATTCGAAGTCGAATTCGAACTAATGCTGCGTTGTAATGGCTCCTTCCTATTCTAAATTTCACCTTCAAATGGCCCATAACAGGAATGCTACAGTGTAACATAATGGCTCCTTCCGGCTGTAAATTTTACCCTCGGGTGGCCCACAAAAGGCATGCTACGTTGCAATGGCTTCTTCCTTTTCTAAATTTTACTTTCGAATGGCCCATCAAAGGAATGCTACGTTGTAAATCGTTGTAATGGCTCCTTCCTACTCTAAAATTTACCATCGGGTGGCTCACAAAAAGAAATGCTTCGTTGTAATGGCTCCTTCCTGCTCTAAATTTTACCCTCGGGTGGCCCACAAAAGGCACGCTACGTTGCAATGGCTTCTTCCTTTTCTAAATTTTACCCACGAAAGGAATGCTACGTTGCAATGGCTTTTTCCTACTCTAAACTGTATCTGTGGCCCACAAAAGGCATGCCACGTTGCAATAGGCTTCTTCCTATTCTAAATTTTACCCTCGGATGGCCCACAAAAGGGATGCTACGTTGTGGTCAGATGGTTGGTTGCTGCTGGCGCGGCTGGCAGGTGGCTGTTGGTTGGTTGGTTAGCAGGTTTTTTTTTGCGGCAGGGAGTTCACACTAAAATGTTGATTTCGTGGCAGGCGCGGGTTTTGGAGAGGAAGTGCAGATTTCGTGGCGCGGGGGGGGTTGGGGGGGGGCGCAGCGCCCCCCCCAGCAGCACACCAGATCCTAATAAAACAAGTGTTGGCTGCAAAGATGAGACTGCGCAGCGCGGATACTTTATTGCTTTGTTGCTAGCTTGGTCGGTTCCTGTTCTTCTTCTGTGTTGTGGGTCGTGGCGATTGCGGTTGTGGTTGTTGTCGTTGCTGTTGGTTCTCGTTGCTGTTGTTGTGGATCCGAACTCGAACTCGAACTGGTCCACCCCCCTTATAAGTCTCTTAGTCGCCGATCCGAACCCGAACTCGAACTCGAACCGGTCCACCCCCCCCGGCTCGATAATTGTGTGTCGATCCGAACTCGAACTCGAACTCGAACCGGTCCAACCCCCCCGGCTCGATAATTGTGTGTCGATCCGAACTCGAACTCGAACTGGTCCACCCCCCGCGGCTCGATAATTGTGTGTCGATCCGAACTCGAACTCGAACTCGAACCGGTCCACCCCCCCCGGCTCGATAATTGTGTGTCGATCCGAACTCGAACTCGAACTCGAACTGGTCCACCCCCCTCTCGCTCGATCCACGCAATCTCGCGCATCGAACTCGAACTCGAACTCGAACGGGATCAGTTGGAACTACCTGGGGCACGGCCTGAGTGTGAGTCTATTCTACACCGTCATAAGAATCCGTTATAGATTTCGTTTGGCGCTGTTTCAAGATCAATGTGCCCACTCCAGGTGGCTGTGACCGGTTGGATGATCTCTTGTTCTTCTTTGCTTTGCGTTTGCAGCTGGTTGTTCAAGCAACTTAGCTGCGTTGATATGATCGTGGCTGGCGTGTTCTTCTGACCGCACATCCGGACCCAAACCATGCTTCTGTTACTGACTGACAGTATATATATATATATATTATAGCGGTGATTTGTCAGCTCAGAGACTTGCATAGTGAGGGGGTCACATTGTTAGAAACAAGAATGCAACCTTTGCTTGGATCCTGGTCGGCCTTGGTGCTGCCACTATACAAGGAGTATCAAGATGACCCCCTTCGCTGTTGCCCTTGGTGCACTGAGAGCCAGCGCCGGGAAGCTGTCCACGCAGGAAATGATCGAAAGCAGCGCCAAGTCGAGGAAAAAAAACGCCTCATCACAAGACACATGCTAAGCCAGGAGCCCTGCCAGGGCATTTCTGTAGACCAAAGTATGGGCTTTGGCCCCGTGTAAAGTGTAGAAGCCTTATGATGGGATATGATTGTGATGTATCACTGTATCACATTGTCCCTCACACGGCATTTATTTTTTTCTCTCTCTCTCTCTCTCTCTCTATGGACTTGAGACGCCCACGTAGTAACTTGCCGAAACGCGAGGGCCACGTGGAGAAGATGCAGCGGCTGCAGGCCTGTCGGGGCCCCAGCTTGCAAGATCACAACGGGAGGGTGCGTCATTGGAAGTTTAGCTTTAGAGTGTAAGAGCAAAAAGTCCAAAGCAAGCTGTTCTAAGGTAAGAAGTCGTTGAAAAAAGGCCATGGCCAGAAGAGGCACCAAGAGGTGCTTGCTGGTGCCTCAGAATTATGAAATTGCACAACCCGGTCACGTTGCCTCCCTGCTAATCCCATCCTCAACCTACCTGGAGACTGCATGCCCAGTAGTCCAAGACATCAATGGTTCAAGTCTTCGTTTGGAGTTTGGGGGCTGTGTGTGGTTGCGATGCAAGTGGCGCAGATGTAAGTTTCAAGGCGAAGATGGCCAGCTACGACAGAGACAAGGACCACCGTGGTCGCTAACCTCCCTGACACCAAGCTAGGAGAAAGACACTAAGCTTTGGGAAGACATATTTTCTTTACCAGTTGCGAGGGCGGCTTCTCTCAGTGTTTGAGTTGAACACCCAGGGAAGTGCCTCAGACAGGGCCTCAAGAACGCAACGACAGGCGGTCTTTGCGGCCATTTGGGCTCAGGCAGTTTCGGTTTTGGGCCGTGGCTCTGTGTTTTCCATTAAGGCTGGAACAGTGGCAAGCTAGAACCACCAGAATTTTCGCACCGGTTCTCCACTTTTTGGCCCCCTCTTGCCTGTCCAGGCTGCTGGCCATGCCCGAGTGACTTGCCGCAGATTTTGGCCAAAGCTCGGTAGAATTGGTTCTCGAAACTGGTTGGTGAGAACCAAGTCCTCTTAAGGTGATTGAGGAGGGAACGCGTGCCCGAAATTACCTCTCGATGTCCTTTTAATGTTTCACCATGTCGTTTTTAACCGTAGATGTGACCTTAATTACCCTCCATTGCTTGCGAGCTCTTTTCACCAAGGACAGTTGGGGAACGGCTTGCCAAGGCACAGGAGCCGGGAAGGGCCGACTGAATGCGTTGAGCGTGTCTCCACTGAAGTGCATCGGGCTGTCCTTGACCGGTCAACCCAACTTGTGGTGCTTCTTTTTGGGCCTTTCCAGGAGAGTGGCGACCCTGAGCAGATCAAAGCAGCCCTAGAGGAAGCCAAAAGAGCTGGTGCTGATGAGGCAGTTCAGTGTCTAGAGACTGCCGACTGAGGTCTAGTGTAGGCCAACAAGACCAGACACATTTCGGGGGTTTGCTCGCGGAACAGCAGTTCACCGAGACCAGAATTTTAGACGACCGTAAGAGGCCTCCACTTGCTTGTTGCCACCTTGTCTTGGAAGAGGTTTGTTTGGACTTGCGGATGGTGCAGGCCTTGGACTGGTGTAGCCCCCACAGGACCCAGTCTAGGCCTTTGGCATCCTTTGGCAATGGTTGGGAGCCAGGCTCATGTGGATGCTGCCTTGGCCGAGCTGAAGAAGCAAGAAACGGATCCTGATGCCATCCTAGAGCTGTGCTTGACCCTCAGATAATACTTAATACCATAAAAGCATAAAGCAGTGAAACTGCATGCCTGAAAACCACATATATATATATAGATTTCAAGTGGGTAGAATCAGAAGGCTGACATGTCCCGAAGTCAAGGCCAAAAGGCTGAAGCCTTCAAGAAGAAAGGCAACGAGCGGCTGAAGGAGCCGGACCTGGGGCCGAAAATGGGGGCTGAAGATGCGCCATCCGCCATCATGGTTCGGGCAATGCTGTTCAGTTCGGGAGATGTTTGCGATTGTTTGCCCAATTGTGCTCGCAACTGGGTTCTTCGCCCTGACAAATGCAGGACAATACTAAGTCTGGTGCCAGGGAAGCATTAGAGCTCTTCACCAGTGGCGCCTCAGCTGATGGGAATCGCTTTAGGCTTTGGTCAGCGATCCGGCTGGACGGGTGGAACATGATCGCATGGAATGCTCTCCGCAAGGCTCAAGTGGATAGTCGGGTGTATGACCTTGACACATACATTCATCACTGACAAGGAATCATGCAACACTACTAATACTACCCGCTTCAGAGTGAAAAAAGAGCTGAGAGGACCGTTTTGCAGGGGGAGCTTTGTAGGATGACCCCGTCACAGAGGCATACAGAAGTCACTAATTAATGTGGTTGCATGCCCATGTCCTCCAGCATGGTTGAGCACCTGCCATGTGGCACTTAACCTTCCTGGTGCTGTGCTTGTTCCACTGCACCTGGGCCCGATTTGTTGCCTATTTTGACCGCGACCTGGTGGAATTAAGCACTTTGCATAACTCTGCACGATATTGGTTCTACTTTAGCCTTTGATTCCTGTCGTCACCATCCAGCGGTTAATTGAACCTGCCCAGGTTATCTTAAGGAGGAGTGGTTCGCCCTCACTGGCGGCAGAGTTCGTCACACCACACCAGATGCCCCATGCCTGCGGAGCTTCGATGCGGATCCACGACTTCTCACAGCGAGTGGGGGGTCCTTATGGGGCGGTGTGAGGCGCATGCTACAACAGTTGAAGAAATGCAGTTTCCTCGGAGGACGATATGTGATCTTCGCTCCAGCGTTGCTCCAAAGTCGGGCCTGGCGGTTGGAGGCCTCGGGGATGGGACCGATCGGCGAGGTGCTCTCGCAAGTATGGGCCAGTGAGGCTGAAGTGGAGCTAGAGTCCCGGATTCAATCTCAGAATGTGAGCAATCAGCAGTTTCATGCTCTCAGCCACTTGGGAGTGTGTGTGCCACCTACTTGTGTTCGTAGCTTGGAGAGACAGGTTGGATGGCATGTCGTTTTGAAGAAGTTGGGTCTTCGGGGTGCTTATGGCCAGGCACCCCCTAGAAGGAGCCATGTCTTCGTGCGTCTCCATGGCCCTCAAGACGCCCAACTTGCGGTGGAGCTGAGCGAAAGACTTGGAGACGCTTTCGGGGCTCCAAAACCTGCATGGTATTTGCAACCCTCCAATTGGAAGAGCCGCCCTTCCAGACATGGCTTCACACCCTCAAGCCTCACTCTCGGTTACTTCGATCGTATGTGGGGCATGTGGAGCACACGGCTGCAAGTGAACTCGCGTCAGAGAACGGTCATGTGTGCCATTCCCAAGGTGGGACTCTCTCAGTTTTACATGCTGATGCAACGCATTGGCCTGGTGAACGCCTCCTACTCCGACTTCGCCGACCCCAACTTGCGCTTCGCCGACCGCGTCGTGGCGTGGTTCGCGTCGCATGACTATTGGCGGGACGTGCGCTGGAAGTTCATCGTTTTTGTTCGAGATCCGCTTGAGCGCTTTCTGTCAGCTTTCAATGACAAGTGCCTCCAACCCTCCACCCATTGTGGAGTTGATGTTCGACAGGGCTGGGCAAACGTCACGCTGAGCAGCTCTCTCCACGAAAAGGTTCGGGCCTTTCGGCTCTTTGTGGCCGTGCCGATTCCAACCCGAACAATGCTGCAGAACGATCACTGGATTTTGCAAAGCCTTTATCTCCTGTATGGATGTCAATTCACGTGGCAAAGGGTGGATTTTGTGGGACTGATGTCATCGGATCAGACTGGGATGAACTTCCAAGTTCGCATGATGTTGCACAACATCCTGGGCTTTTCATGGGCGGTCGCTTCGTCGATGGCAGAGTCGTACTTTCCCTCTACGGGCTTCGCCAGCGAACATGCTGCCAAGCACCACAAGATCAACCGGGGTCAAGCTGCCCGCACTTTCCAAACCTTCTACTCGCACAAGGACTGCTGTGATATCTTCACATGCTTCGTTCCCGATCGATGTGCGAAAGCAACTTTTAATTCCTTAGGTCCCTTAGGTTCACGGACGGAAAATGCTTATTCTGCTTATTAGTTCTATGAGCCTGAGGCTGTGATATGTCAAAAGCAGTAGTGACAGTGTGCTCAGGACACTTTGCACAAAGTGCTTCGCTATGTCCGGCAGGACAAGTTGCGGCTTTTCGCAAGCATCCGAGTAGATAGAACACGCAGAAATTCATGAATCTGAGGTCAATTGTGGGAAGGTGTTCAGGATCATGTTAGCTTCGGCCAATGTTCTTGCAAGATTTCTTCACCAAGGCAAAGTCCTCCACTGCTTTGCATTCCAGCCATTCTGTAACTGCAGGACTACATTGCCTTTGGCCTGCCACTGCCCCGGTGGGCCGCAGATTTGGTAAACGCCAGCTGGGAACGCTGGGGTGGTGTGACGAAAAAAGGACTCAACCGGGCCACCTGCACTTCCCACAGTTCCTCAATCTTCCTTTGTCCTGGGAACCACATGAACAGTACGCGGCGCGTGTGAGTTATCCTGCGTGCAAAGCTAGTAGCGGCCAGCCCTTACTTAGTAAGGGTGAGGGAATGTGGACAAACAAAAAGAAGGAAAAGAAGGAGAAAAATAAACAAGATGGAGCCCACGAACCCGAGTGCAAACACGTTCGAAAAGCTACATATGTCCAAATGACACTCTTGTAGGACACTCCTGTGGGACACTCTTGTGGGTCACTCTTGTAGGAAACTCTTGTGGGACACTCTTACGGGACACACTTGTGGGTCACTCTTGTGCGACACTCTTGTGGGACACTCTTGTGGGACACTCTTGTGGGACACTCTTGTGGGGCACTCTAGTAGGAAACTCTTGTGGGAGACTCTTGTAGGACACTCTTGTGGGACACTCCTGTAGGACACTCTTGTGGGACACTCTTGTGGAACACTCTTGTGGGACACTCTTACGGGACACACTTGTGGGACACTCTTGTGGGACACTCTTGTGGGACACTGTTGCGGGACACTCTTGTGGGACACTGTTGCGGGACACTCTTGTGAGACACTCTTGCGGGACACTGTTGCGGGACACTCTTGTGGGACACTCCTGTGCGACACTCATTTGGGACACTCTTGTGGGACACTCTTGTGGCACACTCTTGTGGGACACTCTTGTAGGAAACTTGTGGGACACTCTTGTAGGACACTCTTGTGGGGCACTCTTATAGGACACTCTTGTGGGACGCTCTTAAGGGACACTCTTGTGAAACACTCTTGTGGGACACTGTTGCGGGACACTCCTGTGGGACACTCTTGTGGGACACTCATACGGGACACTCTTGTGGGACACTCTTGCAGGACACTCTTGTGGGACACTCTTGTGGGACACTCATGTGGGATACTCTTGTAGGAAACTCTTGTGGGATACTCTTGTAGGAGACTCTTGTGGGACACTCTTGTAGGACACTCTTGTGGGACACCCTTGTAGGGCACACTCTTCGTACGAGACTTCCTCCAAAAGTCACGCTGCGAGGCTGCAAGACGAGCGTTTCGTATGAGACTTCCTCCAAATTAAAGTCACGCGTCAAGTCTCAAAACCGGGCATTTCGTACGAGACTTCCTCAAAAAGTCACACGTCAAGTCTCCAAAACGAGCGTTTCGTACGAGACTTCCTCAAAAACTCATAGTGTGCCCCGCTCGAACTCGAACTCGAACTCGAACTCGAACTGAAACAGTTATACAGTATTGATGAACTTAACCTTGAAAGGATATATATGGAAGGAACCGAACTCGAACTCGAACTCGAACTCGATCTCGAACTCGAACTGGAACTGTTAGAAGTCAACCCAGTGGACGAATAGAAAGAGTCGAACTCCAAAATCGCTGTCGTCGATTCGAATTCGAATTCGAACTCGAACTCGAACTGGTCCCCCCCCCCGGTGTCAAAATTGTCGTCGATTCGAAATTTGATCTCGAACTCGAACTGCGTTTCCCCCCCTCCGGGCGTCAAAACTGTCGTCGATTGGAATTCGAACTCAAACTCGAACTAGTTCCCCCCCGGAGTGAAAAAATTATCGTCGATTCGAAGTCGAATTCGAACTAATGCTGCGTTGTAATGGCTCCTTCCTATTCTAAATTTCACCTTCAAATGGCCCATAACAGGAATGCTACAGTGTAACATAATGGCTCCTTCCGGCTGTAAATTTTACCCTCGGGTGGCCCACAAAAGGCATGCTACGTTGCAATGGCTTCTTCCTTTTCTAAATTTTACTTTCGAATGGCCCATCAAAGGAATGCTACGTTGTAAATCGTTGTAATGGCTCCTTCCTACTCTAAAATTTACCATCGGGTGGCTCACAAAAAGAAATGCTTCGTTGTAATGGCTCCTTCCTGCTCTAAATTTTACCCTCGGGTGGCCCACAAAAGGCACGCTACGTTGCAATGGCTTCTTCCTTTTCTAAATTTTACCCACGAAAGGAATGCTACGTTGCAATGGCTTTTTCCTACTCTAAACTGTATCTGTGGCCCACAAAAGGCATGCCACGTTGCAATAGGCTTCTTCCTATTCTAAATTTTACCCTCGGATGGCCCACAAAAGGGATGCTACGTTGTGGTCAGATGGTTGGTTGCTGCTGGCGCGGCTGGCAGGTGGCTGTTGGTTGGTTGGTTAGCAGGTTTTTTTTTGCGGCAGGGAGTTCACACTAAAATGTTGATTTCGTGGCAGGCGCGGGTTTTGGAGAGGAAGTGCAGATTTCGTGGCGCGGGGGGGGTTGGGGGGGG